ATACAATGAATCAAGATAAGGGTAGGGTTTAAGGGTAGTTTTGAACAATTAGTTACAACTTTTTTTATTAGTTTCAATAAACAATATTTAACTGTATTTAAAAACGCTTACTGCCAAAGTTTCATAAGAAATTCCAACCTCGATTTTACATCCTTTGAGCTGAAACTTTTCAAAATCCTTTCTTAGCAGTCACCTACGTCACCCAAGGAACATTTGTGCAAAATTCAATGCTTCAATACCCAGCGGTTTCAGCTGAACGTTGATCATTCATGTATCAGTCTATCAGTGTCTTCTTTCATACATAGATTGGTTTTAAGCCTCATGTTACGTTAATACAGGAACAACATTTAAAGCCACAATGAAGTATCTCCCTAGGGGCTAATTATTTATTAATAAACCTGCTATTATTACCACCGTATTGACTATTTAAAGCAATTGTTTTCACGATTTAGTGTTGAAATGTCACCCATTTATAGAATATAATCTAGGTCACAATGTTGGGCAGCTGAAACCCAAATAGAACTCTGAATTTATCTGCTCATTAAACAAAGGTCAAGCTAAATTGATGACACATTTAGTTGAGTGTATCGAATATAATTCTTTCAATCAAAATAAACGAAGGTTTTAAAGTTCGGTAAGAACAGAATTAAGGAGTGTTGAAGGCGTCAATCTCTGATGGTCAAAGAACTTTACAGACATACATGAAACGGACACAAAGAACACCCAGTCTCAGAACAACAATTTGTGGATCACACAAAGTGTCGTCCCATGTGGAGTTTGAACCCACAACACTCGGCGTAGTAGGAAGCGGCGTGGCGACCGCTTAAACCACTACGCCATCCGTGCAGAGATCAGAGATAGATTATAGTCTGGAATAGCATATATATTACTTTTAATCCTGGAAAAAATGAATCGAGCGAAGTCACGGCCAAAACCTGGTTTCTCTACGAGGTCGACACACTGCCATAATTTCCAACACTGGTATGACAGTGTTTGCCTTATTCGGAATGGCGACAAAAAAATCAAAGGTTACCCGCAGAACTATATTTTCATGCAATGCCATTGTTTTCATATTACAATGTACACAACAATGTATGAACGAAGGCTACGAAGCAAAATCCTGAATATCATTAGGCTGGAGAATAGAAAGGGAAATCTTCCTACCACAAAAATCTTCTATACGTTTTCTTTTGTCAATTTTCCATTTGCGTTCGAATGCCCTCTTTCTTGAGATTAAAATATGATACGTTTACACCTAAAGTTCGTGATTTTTTCAGGAATTTTTAGAGAAGTCCTAATGAAGAAAATTTAAAGGAAAAAAGGTAAAAAAGAAAGCAAGGACGGAAAACCAGGGCCTCACAAAAAACCTGTGTTAAGCAATTCTCTCGTTGCATATCACTGATAGTGAAGTTGTCGGAATCCCTATCCTCTTGTTGGGGCATAAAAGGTCGGCAACGCAGTTTTGACTTTTGAACGTCCATGGGCAGCCGCAGGCACTTATCACCTCCTTTTTTAAGGGCATACTGAAAGTTTCTGGGTCTAGCCACTTACAATAAAATAATGATAAGACAATTATTGAATTCGAAAATATAACTCTTTGGGAACATGTTACTTTTTAATTTGCGAGACTGTCATTTGTTTTTTCGGTGTGACGTCTTTTCGAAAATTGTGTGTCGCTATCAAAATGAATTTAACTCGTGAACATTTTCGTTCAATGAATTTTTATGATTTTCGTTGTCTCTTAAGTCAACAAGAGAGTTGCCAGAGACTTCAATTGGAATTTGGTGATGAAGCACCATGTCGCAGCTCTGTATATTCGTGATTTTATGATTGAGAATTTAGGAGTGTACGTGATCATCTCCATGACGAAATACGTGAAGGTCATGTATCATAAAAAATAAATTACCTGTTTAACATTTTCCAGGATTTTAACACGTAGCTACTGATGTTGGATGCGCAGTCGCACTTCCCACGCACGCCCAGCATTGGGTGCGCCATGCGACGAGTCCCATTCAACTCGATCGTATTGTACAATTTGTATTTGTTTGACTGATACGGCTCAAGTTCATGTATGTGTGAGTTTTGGACCCATTGTCATGTGTTGGAAATTACTATTGAATGTTCGATGGGGGAAATATATTGATAGCGATTACAATGGGATTTTTGCTGTAGTAGGTTCTATATGGTTTTATATGTCCGTGTGGTGACGGATTAAGAATACGGAATGTCACCACCTCTATTCATCCCGAGGCTGTCGTAAGAGCCGACTAAGGGAGCAAACTGCGCAGGACAACAGCACTGCAAAAGGGAAAGAAAACTTGAAACAAACCCTATGCCAATCCGTTTGGCCATTGTAGTATAGTAGGCCAAAACCTCCTTTCTAAGGAGAGGCCTGTGTAAAGCAGTGGACTTCTAAAGGTTGTTGATGGATTCTCGGAGTTTCTAAAATGAAAAAATGAATTAAAAAAATGTAAAGTAGTTAGTCTTTCCTCTGTTTTTTCCAGGACTTTGACTGTTGGATAAAAAGAAGTTACAAATTATCAGTACCTATGTAGTTTAAATCATATGTACTCGTAAGTCAGAGGGCTTGCACTTCCCGGCAATAAATGTGTGTCTAGCACACACGTTGATTGCCGATGTTTTATTCGTGTTTTATCCTACCAAAGTGCACCACCTCCCACCCGTCTTTTTCGACGATAATTGGAGAGGAAAGGGGGTTGATGGTCCGCTAACTACGGTAGACGGATAAACTGATATTATGAGGGTTCCTGTAAGGTGAGATAAAAAAGCATATCAGTTTTAGTTCAATAGTTTCAAGAAACCTAACATCAACCCCAACGATACCTCAAATATCTGAGTCCCGATTGTCCATTTAACTTTACAATGATGAGAACAGTAAGCTGGTAATTAAGGGTGAGATTTATTAACTTAATCGATTATTAACGAGACACTTGAATCGATTATCAAGATAGTGGTTGAATGGATCCGTTTAAATCGACGGTTGGGTATGAAAGGGATATTGATTCAAACATCACGTCGTTATTAGATATATTCGATTTAATTCCCGGCACAAACATGAGGGTTGTAATAAATTTGTGTGTTTATGTGCGGATGTGTCTGTGTACTTGTGAATTACTGCTGAAAGTATTGACCATTTTGATTTTGGTATTGACTTGGTCAGTAGTATTTTGAGCTTATAAAATAAATAGATAATTCAATAAAATCTGTTAATTTAGCTGTTTTATAATCGTTCAAGGGATTTTAAGTTGGATTTTTTAATTTATACTTGCAATCAGTTGCGTATAATGTGTACATCGCAATGATAAGGTATTTAAACTTATATCTAAAGAATAAAAGTTTTGTGTAAGGTGTCCGTGTGGTGACGGATTAAGAATACAGAGTGTCACCACCCCTATTCATCCCGAGGACAACAGCACTGCAAAGAGAAGGCAAACTTGACACGAACCCTATACCAACCCGTCTTTCTAGCGTGGTATACAAGGCCAAAACCTCTTTTCCTAGGAGAGATGTCCAGCAGTGGATTATTAAAGGCTGTTGATGATGTGATGTAAGGTGTCGCAAAGATACGAGTATAAAACGAAAACTTTTATTTTTTATTTTTTTATAGGTAGGACCTTTTGAACTTCGAAAGTGCAGCACGGTATAATTAAGCTGTCAGTGATTTGAATCTATCATTCTTACTACATTAAAATCAAATAAATCAAGACCCATTTTCCTCCAAAAGAGCCGCATAAAGTACCTACTTTTTTTTTAAATTGTAGTAATTACTTGAAACCCACAATAGGTATGAAAAAGTATTGATTTCTATGCCTTTCACTAGTAGGTAGGTTGATGGAGTATGTAATGTAAATCAACAGATGTCTGTTGGCAGCTTGTCAAAGGAAACCCTCACGTAGCAACAGAAGCTGACAACACGGGTTCATGACATCGTAAAGCTTGGAGAAAGTACGTGTTGTTTTCTTGTAATAAATATATGTATGTTAGTATAGGCTCAGAATACGTTGTTGTTGAAATTTTTAAAGAAATGGTAATAGACAACTTATAACATTTAAATTATGTAAACCATAGACCATATACAGATGTCAATTCATCTTTAATTGGCGCGAGATTTGTACACTCGTTAGTAATTTGAAAATAGAACACCTATTATTTTTAAATATGAAATTACCGACACGAAGGTTTTTATTTAATGCTAAGCTTTTAAGCTGAAACTGTGGGACAATAGCCCTTACTAGAAAATTTTCAAACTTCTTTGTACATTCCTCTATTCATAGAAAAACGTACCTATCATATTTTGTCTAGTCGACATCTTTGTACTAGTGACTTCTCCAATGACAGGATGGACATGGGATACGCAACCCTGGCGCCTGCGAACTACTACAGTTTCAATCCCGAAAAAGTCATAAAGATTTATGTGAGATAATAAACTTTAGAGGACGTATTACCTAAAAAGGTGAAACTTAAAACAGCACCCGAAAAAGTCCTACTAGCGTCATAAAACTCCAAGTGAAATACATAATCATTGTGTAAACATTACAACGACAAATATGGAAATCAATACATATACTACAATACAAATCCCGGCAAAATTACATTAGCATGTAGTGACGTCACAGAGACAATCCACCTATTGGCGCATTTTGTTTATCAGCGTGTTATCTGTGCTCGGCAATTAGTCACAGCGGTACATACCTCACGTGCGAACGTTCGAGCCGAATTCGAATTTACCGAGACGCCCCCATTTTTTTCAGACGAATTTCGTAATTCGAAATTTGAAAGTTTGAATTTAGAATCACGGGTTTCGGTTATGTTTTAGTCATATTTGTTGTTTTGATAAGTGGTAGTGTTTGTATCATAATATCTTTCACTAGATTTGCAATTTGAAAGTAGAATTCTATTTTTAAATTGCTTGTAATGTGTTTTGAAACAAGAACTGACTTGAAGTGTTTTTGTTTTTTTTTTTAAGTGAAGTTTTTTCAATGTTTAGGAAAGTGCTATTTTGTGAATTCTTCGCGGCGCCCACTGAATCAAATGAAAGGTTATCTTTTCTTTATACGCATGTTTCATGAAGGTGGTGTGATATCATTTATCATATTTAAATTCATTGATAATTCTAATTGCCAACGCATTATTTCAATGAGGCTCGAGTAACGCAACAACACTTTCAAAATATTCCTCTTTATTCTAGATTATATTCGTTTGAAATTCTTAGGCGATGGTCAGTTATAAAACTTCCGCAAATTACTAATACAGCCAGCTCGTTTCATACAACAATATTATGAGTCAATTGCTACTCTCTATACATATTTGTACATTCACCTGTTTTAATGACATCTAGATAAAAATAATCTGTATTATGATATTAATTGTAATAATAATCACCATTTTTTATCAACTCTATTAATAATGGAAGGAAATACTCAGTTTCAAAACACAGGTGAATGTTTTATTACCCGACCGAGCTAGAATGTATGTTTTTAAGTATATGTATGTATGTATTTACATTTCGTTATCTAAACGGCTTGATGGGATGGCTTTGGAGGTGTCATTAGATTCGTCTTAATTGTGAGAATGACACCGGGTATATAAAAATTTTGAAAATTAAAATTGCATGTTTGTAAATTTTAGACTCCTATACATTTTCACACAGTCAGGTTTTTTTTAAATAATTAGCTTCTTTATTCACTCATTCACTCACTCATTCATTCAACTATTTATTGTCTTTAAAAATTGTTTAATGTAGGTATGGTTTTATTTTTCTTCTGTTATTTCGCATTCTTTTTACAACTTTTTTAATTACATTATTAAACATAATGCTTGTTCTTTTTTAAATTTGTGTTTTTTTTTAAATTTTGAATTGATTATAATAAAATTATCAACCTCACACATCTCACACAAGGCCACCTGATCTCAAGCTACGCAGAACCTGTGCTATGGTAACCAGACTGCTGATAAACATACTTATATATTTCTAAATGCATACATATTATAGACTAATTACACCCAGAAACAGAACAAATTATCATTCTCATCACACAATTATTTAACCTGGGTGGGAATCAAACCCACGACTTCTGGCTTCGCAGCCAGGACTACTAACCACTAGGCTAAAAAGCCCGTCAAAATTGCTAAATACCAGGAACTCTGACAGCTTGTCAAATTGCAAAAAGTATGGCTTCACTAATACTTCCATATCCAATTAAAAGTGCTAATCTAATTGTCATAATGACAGTGACAGTGACGTGACACCTGTATGGTGACTTAAAACCGGTTTTACTAAGTACTAACTCATGATACATAAATAATTAATTTATGTAGAACTATTCGCAACTTAGTGTGATAGAAAGAATCTATTTCCTTAGTCAACTGATGTCCTATGAACTTGGACCAATTGTTTAGTAGACTTGTTTTTCCTTGACGACATAAATCGTATTTTAATGATCTCACATATATACAGACACGCCTATAGCCCCAAAGGAGTAGACAGAGCCGTGATAAATGTCCATATTTTCCTAGTCCATTTAGTCACACTTATATAATATGGGGTAAGTCTATTGCGTCAACCGGGCATTTTAATCTCGACAATATTGAAAGGAAAGGCAGATAAGAAGAGTAAGAACTGGTAGAGAAGAGGAAGAATTTTTAGAGTAAACGCTTTCAAAGGTATGTCATTTTTTCGATTAGTAATTTTAATATTTTCATAACAATAATAACATTTAGAAATATCGTTAGATATTAATATTTTTTATTAATTAATTTATTTCTTTTCTCTTCATAAATGCTGTCTACCCAAGATACCATTTTTCTCTAAAAACAAATTTAAAAAGTTATTCCAGTATAGTGTTAGAATTGGACGCGCGTACCAGTTTCAGGCAACGGCAACGTGGTGTAATGCGCGGAAGCGTGCTTGCGCAAGGGTGGGATTCCCACTGTTCATTTGGAAGAAGAGGAAAACTTTTAATTCTTTCTAAACTTTCGCAATTTGGATGTTTATTAGACGCGTAAATCTAGTGAAGGCCAATCGTCACTATACTGTAATTTAATGGAAAGGGGTGAATAAAAGTGATTAAATTACCATTTTCTGTGTGTGTGGAAATTCCCTTGGCCCGTAAACTTGCCCTTCTAACAGTTTTCGGACTAAAAATGCATTATATGCCATACTGCACCTACAATAGGAGGGATCCGGGAACAGCTTGTGGCGACTTCCACATACATACTCCTTCCTCAAAGGCTGGCAACGCGCTTGTGACTCCTGAGCTGAAGGTGTTCATGATCGGCGGTAGTCACTTTCCATCAGGTGACCCGTCTGCTCGCTTGCCCCTCTTCTACTACTCTACTTCAATAGCATCAAATTATAGATTAGATGTTTTAGAGCAATTTTTTTTTTAATATACTTCTGCCAAACCCCTAGAGTGGAGGGGAGTGTTAATATTAAATTGCCGTCTGGACGTATAGTGGGTGTCTATAACCTCGTTTGAATATAAAAGTAAATCTGTTTCACACGCGTCGCTCAAGTTTTCCCATTTTATGGGGTCAGTAGAGCTCACAGCGGAAACATATAAGTATATTACCGGATCTGATAACAAATTAATGTGTAAAGAAATAGACTTTCGGTCTTACTTTCTACTGCCATTGCTGGCAATTTCATCTTCATTTATGTCCAGTACTCCGCTCTTAAGAATCTATCCAAGACCGGGATAGTTGGCGCTCCTTGCAGGGCTTCGTTCAGCAGTGGACGGCGGTAGGCTGATTATGAAGGGTCTGTTTTAAAGCCAATATTATTTAGGCAAAGCCTTTAATATGATAACCAGACTGCTGGTAAACATACTTAAATGTTTTTAAATACATCATATTAAAGATAAATAACACCTAGACACATCTGGATGAGAATGGAACCCACAGGCTTTGGCTTAGCGGTAAGGGTCACTAACGACTAGACCAACCAGCCAGTCTAGCCAGTCATGGCTATTGTGGGTTAAATCTTAGGACATCATAAACCTAAGTAGTTTATGTTATTTATATCTATAAAAGAAGAAACTGAGAGAGTGATTCACGGACTGATTGATCAACGCGCAGCTGAGACCCCTGGGTCTGGAAACATGAAATTTTGCATAAATGTTCCTTAGGCGACGTAGGTGCACACTAAAAATGGATTTTTAAAAATTACACCTGTGTTACCCAGTGCAAAACGGGGGTTGGAATTTAAATGAAACTTCATTATTTTTGGTAGTAGCGTTTTCAAACTCACAGTAAATATTCTTTATTAAAAATAATAGCTTACAGTAGTAGTACTAATTTTTTTAAACTACCCGTAAAAAGCCACGACAAGAGATTAAATGGGGTTTTTATAAAATAGGGTTGGGAATTTGTACATGCATATTATGGAAAAAAAAAACAAAAAATCCAAAAATTTGTAATGTGATGTCATACATTGCACCCGTGTGAAGCCGGGGCGGGTTGCTAGTTACTAATGTTAGAAATACGAAAGTTTGTATGGATGTTTGCTACTCACTCCCGCCATAATTCTTAAACTAATCTGAATAAAGTTTAGCTTAGGGATAGTTTATAGGCTGGACTAGCACATAAGCTACGTTTGCAATAGACATGGGCAGTCTTTTTTTCCACGGTTGGAAACCTCCTCGGGCCGTCACTCCACCGGGGTTTACGATTGGGCGAAGTCGGAAGCGAACCGATTAAAATGTCATTGTGTTCCACTCTACGCCTGAAATAATCCTGAATTAATCCGGGAATAGGTTTTTTTTAACGTGTGGCAACCTCTCGGGCCCTCACCCCAACGGGGTTTGAGTCAGCCGAAATCAGCCTGTCTAATAGTCACAAGGCTGGTGTCGAACCCACTACTATTGATATGCAGTCGAAAGCTCTGTCGCCATGACACATAGCCTTGAATACACATGATACAATTTTAAATTCAGTGTGCCGCTCTAGATATTGCTTTTAAACTACTAAGCATGGAATTACGCTCATTTCAAAAAAACACTTGTAGTTTAGATAGATATTAACAATTTTCTGTATTTTTTACCGTTTAAATATCATTTAGGTGGCAGTGAAAGCCCCATTACCCTAGTGAGGATATGCGGGCAATTAAATTGTTCACGAGCGTGATATACTACCATGGTGGAAACATTGTAATTTTTCTGTTGGATACGACCACTGCTTTGTAGGACAGTCTTGTACATATGGGATATTCACATCATCATCGCATCAACAGCCTTTAATAGTCCACTGTTGGACATAGGCCTCTTCTTAGAAAGGACGTTTTGGCCTACTATACCACGCTGGCCAGACGAGTTGGTATAGGGTTTGTTTTTAAGTTTGCAGTGCTGTTATCCAGCGTAGTTTGCTTCCTTAATCGGCTCTTACGACACCCATATCAGAAATTAAATTAAATAAAAATTGTAAGATGTACTGGTATTGTACCTAATCCGCTTCTATGCGCCATATTTGTTTAAAAGAAGTACCATACAAATAATTTTCTTCACGTAGTAAAATATTGATTCTTTAGTCCTTGCGTGAAACAATAATGGCCGCTTAGATACAGGTGCATAATAAAGAACATTCTTGTCTATGTATTAAAAAATAATGACAGACTATAATTAATTAGCGTTTTATGTGGTATAGATTTGTTATTTTCAATAACTATAGTGTTAGATCGTTTAATATCTTTATTGATTTTCAGTTATTATCATCATTTTTAGGGTTCTGTACCTCAAAAGCAAAAAAACGGCACCCTTATAAGATCACTTTGTTGTCCGTCCGGCTGTCTGTCTGTTAAAACCCTTTATTATGAGACCGCGTGGAAGTATCGAGATGAAATTAAAACCGTATACTCAAGTGTACAGTCCCTTGAAGCTGTGAAAAAATCAAACTTCTAAGTTAACGTTAAAAAGATATGGCCGTTTATGTCGCAAAAAACGCATATTTCGACACTGACAAAGGAATCAAAATTCATAGGGTACTTCCCCCCTATGACCTTGACCTAGAACTATAAAATTTGGTAAGTAACATCGTCTTATACTA